TCTTGTTTTTTGTTGTTGTTGTTGTTTTAGCAACAATTGTTTATGTAATAGTTGTTTTGTCTCATATTAAATTAATTTAAGCCATATTGAGGCCTCCCTTAGAGGTTTGCTGAGGTCCCTGATCTATGCCTACTCATGTGAATTATTGAATCACTTTATTTATTTCTTTATTTTGTTTAGACCTTATATAAAGTTTAATTCATTAAAAATGTATTTGTACCACAGGCCAGCTGTTTCCCACATGAGCACTATAAACTTGCACTCATTGAACAACGGATCTAAAATCCAAATGCTTCACAAATACCTACTGTATAGATAGGCTTTGCATGCATGAATATCATTCCATTAGATAACACAATATCAAACCAAGTGGCATTTATATGAAAAAAGATAGCACAAGCACTTTTCAAATGAAACTATTCACAAAATAAGTTATAAATTATATAAAGGCTATAAATAATGGCGAAAAATGTTGAAAATACCACTTTGTGTTTCTAAAGCAAACTTGAGGTGAACTGACTTCATGCAGTTAAAAAAAATAGTGATCAGTTAATTAAATGTAAATGCAAAATGGCTTACTAAAAGAGAGCACAGTATCGTATGCTTGCAGATGAACGACACTGGATTTAATATTTTGTTATCTTATGCAATGATATTCAGACATTCTAGTGTGACTTAATTGACCAAATTATTTCTGGGGATGCTGTAACTTGCTTTCTAATAAATGTATTTATTATAATTTTTTTTTAAATTAATTTATTATTTTGAATCAATTTATTTTGACAAGGCAAAACAGTCTGGCATGATAAAAACACACTTTTTCTCTTTCTCGCTGATGTTTTTTGAAGCACTGCTCGTCTGATGGCGGTCAAGGTCAGGCCGTATGGCGGCTCCCAAAACATGCGTGATCATAAACATTTAGCGGCTTTGTAAGCTATCCATTAACTCACGGCTAATTTACTGACGAGTCTTATCTCCCAAAAAGAACAGACAATGGTTCAGTCTCTCTCTCAGTGCTGTGTGTCTATGACCATACAGCGCTTTTGCCCTTCACAGGCAGCTAAGCTCTCATCTGCCTTAAAACCAAACCCAGCATCTATAATTCATCTCTTGCTAAGCATGATCTGGGTGATATAAATGCTATTATTTAACTGGGTGGAAACGTGGAGCGCTTTGACAGAGGACTTCTGAGCTCTCCGCTAATGACCTAGCGCTGCTGTCAGAATCAATCCGGCCCGCTACCCACGCAAATGACAATGCACTGTGGAAGTGGACATAACGGTCATTTCTGTGGCCCGGAGCGCTGGCGCTGCCTGTGCTGACACCACTGGGACTGTAACACCCTCGGGCCAATAGAGAGGCTATTGGAGGAAGAGCAGGGTGCACAGAAAAAAGTCTTAAAGGTACAGTAACAATTTATTTACTGTTGCAAGAAATCTTGCAAAGTAAATATTCTCTGTTTTGATATTTACCTCTCTGTATTGGACCAGAAATGGGCCTTTTCTAAAAATATACAAATGATGTGAGTTGTGGCAGAAAAAGACACTATTGATATTACTGTGCCATGCCTTTAAATAGTAGTGAGAGAGTAGAGCGCCACAACAGCTGCCTTCACACAGACCTACATATTAAAGCAGCTAATTGATTATCTGAGTTGACAAAACTGGGTGCTCAATGTGTTCAAGCTTATTTGTGCACAAACAAAGAGGCACAGAGGGTTTTCTGTGCTGAAATCTGGTCACTGGGTCAGCTGGTTCACATAACAGCAAACCACGAAAAGAAACAATAAAAAAAATGTTTACTTTCAAAGTGTTTCAATTATACATATTTGTTAAGCTAACATACATTTTAAGAACTATTAAATTTTTTGCAAATGGCATTTGCAACACATTTTAATTCTATAACGTGATGCATTTCTGAATGAAATGTAGTGAAACATTAAGATTTTAGGACTCGATTTTATACAGCATGTCAGAATTTGACTGGAATTTGAAAATCAATATTAGTCAATCAATCAAAATCAATGATCAGAATCACTGGTTAAATTTTTTTTAAAGGTACAGTCACAGTTACTGTGTGAAATGCAAAAATCCAGTAATTTAAATAGAATCAACACAATTTGGAGTTTTCGATGAAAGTTGAGAGTTTACCAATAGAAAGCTGCATAGTTTAAAAGTGACTCCTGTGTGAGCAGTGCTTTTGACAATTGACAATGGACCCTTTTTTATGGAAGCCCATTTCCGCCACTGAATAAAAAATTTAAAAAAAGGTTATTGCGACTTATCTCTCAATTCAGATTTTTTTTCACAGAATTGTGAGATATAAACTCGCAATTGTGTTATAAAGTCAGAATTGCGAGATATAAGCTTACAATTGCGGGTTATAAAGTCACAATTGCGAGATAAAAACTAGCAATTCTGACTTTTTTTCACAATTGCGAGTTTCTATCTCGCAATTCTGACTTTATTACATGCAATTGCGAGTTAAAGTCCAATTTTGAGGGGGGGAAAAAGACTGATATGTTCTCAGAATTGCGAGTTTCTATCTCACAATTCTGACTATAACTCGCAATTGCGTGTAATAAAGTTAGAATTGCGAGATATAAACTCGCAATTCTGAGATAAAAAGTCAGAATTGTGAGTTTATATCTCACAATTATGACTTTTTAACTCGCAATTGTGAGTTTATCACGCAATTCTGAGAAGAAAAGTCAGAATTGTGAGTTTGTATCATGCTTTGATGAATCTTTAACAATTAAATTAGAAACATGAATTTAGAAAGGGCTGATTTTGATTTCATGTTGCTTTTGTTTACTTTAAAGTGCACCACTTTCACATAACCTTAAAAACAGTATACCAGTACATAAAGTCTGAATGTCATCAATTATTCATCTTCTAAACTCTTAAAAATAAAGGTTCTTTATTGGCATTGATGGTTCCATGAAGAACATTTAACATCCATGGAATCTTTCAAATCCACAAAAGTTTCTTTATAGTTGAAAAGGGTTATTTAGATTACTAAAAATGTTCTACACACTATGCTTTTTTTTTTTTTTAAGAACGGTTCACAGAAAGGTTCTTTGGGGAACCAAAAATGGCATCACTGTGAAAACCCTTTTTTTGAACCTTTAATTTTAAGAGTGCACTACACCTGCCACATGAAGATGCTCTTGCATCTTCTAGCCGATTATCTTGTATCTTGTTTAAAAGAGGCCAAGTCACCATTACTAGTTCAGAAAGAACACAGTGAAGTGATATGAAACTGTAATGTTATCAACAAACCTGGAGCTATTTCATATTTCAAAATGAACCAATGAGAAACCAATATCAACCAACCAGAATGAAGAACTCAATGCTGTCGTAAAACAAAACTATAATATCAGTCAAACAAAAAAGAACCAAAGACATACGAAATGAGAATCAGGGTACCTATGTAAAAGCACTTATGTTTGTGTGTGTATTATGCGAGCGTCTGTTTGCAGGTGAAGGCCGGTTAGCAGCTCTTCCCCCACATCCTCTTTATTAAACACTATCAAACACGGTTTAAGCTGTCTAAAGTTAGCCTCGGCGCTCAACAACTAATGACTGTCTTGCATCCATTATTAGTTCATTTTCTTCAGATCAGTCACCAGCCGAGCATGCTTTTTTAAAAATGTCATCCTAAAACTTTTTACAATCAATTAAGCTGAAGATTAATGGGGACAATTTTCCAGGAACAAGTCCTTCCTTGAAAAGGCCACGCCTCGACAGACTTCCAGCCTGGTATTGGTGTTAATTATAAATTTCCGCTTTGCTGTCACACACTTAACCTGTCGTAAGGGAACAGCGCTGGCAGTCCGGGGACCAGCGAACCGCTATTTAAATATTCCTAATCCGCTTTTGTGGACACAGGTGACTGATGTAAATTGTGCTTTCGTTCTGTGTCATTAAAACGAATTTGAAAGGACATCAGTGCTGTAGCTAAGCATGGATAAAAAAAGTTTTTTTCTACCCTGAGGTGAAATAAGAAAATCACCCCCCTTGAGCTTTCCTGAAACACTGGTAGACTGAGGAAGTGTCATCCTTCATTTGCTCACATGCTAAACAGCTTAGAGACACCACATCTATCCTGAGACAACAGACCTGTAATCTCTAAACACACACATTACTACATCTGTGACGGATTTCATTCATCCAGGTCATTGTAGAACGCCTGCTAGAATTTATTCATAAGCTACTGGATTTTGCTGTTCATCTTAAGTTACTTCTGAATATTTACGAACAACAGATTACTAAATGTCTGATGTCAAAGACGTCCAAGATGGGAAAACATAACTTTTCATGCTGCCTTCAAGTCCTCTTTGGAGTTCTGTACAACTAAAATCGTAATTACATTAAATTAACTTATTTTGGTCAGAATATAACAAGCATATTGGGCAATTTCATATTTTGGCTCTTTTTCACCTCTCTCTTGTAAAAGTGCTAGTAAAACAAAATGAAATGCACATTAAATTGTCATTTTTATGCTGCCACAGAAAATCTGGCAACTAGAATAGGTAATTTCTTGTATTTACTACAGTTATTCTTTATAAGCCATCCGCAAATGGCATATAAAATAATTTGCACAGTCTACATTAACTCACTGATTCAACTGAAATGTAAATGTGACCAGTAATATGTTTATTCATCTTGATTTGAAGGCAGTGTAAAAAACTTTTAGCAAAAAAATACCACAACCTTTATGAAAACAAAGTGTTTCCACAAACCCCTGTGACAAAAACAAAAAATTATGCAAGAAGAAAATCAGCTCATACAGATCTTTTTTTCTTGCTTTCTTAAATAAGAGAGGTACAGACATATTCATGATTACATTTCAACTTGTGTGCATTACATAATTTCCATATTAAATATGCATATTATGATCTTCATACCCAATGTTGATCTCAAGTTAGTCTCAAACCAAGAACATCAGGGTGTTTTGGATGAACAAAGACAGTTGAAAGAGTTCAAACCTTATCTTACCTGCAGGATGTGGCTGCCAAGGTGAGGCTCAAAGATCTCTGTGGCAACAGCGCTGGGGCTCCGCCTCCGCTGGGACCCGATAGCTGCGGAGAGAAGTACACAGCATGAGTACACTCGTGTCGGCATGCACACGCACGCACGCACGCTTCCACTTTAAATCCAAACTAACTTGGAAATGGAGTCCACCTGTGTGATTTTAAACAGATACGGTAAACTGTTGAACAAACACTTCCGCCCCAATAATACTAAGCCCCCGGTACTGTAAATACACAGATGCAAATCAAAGCCTCAGAACGGCTCCCTTCTGCATATTCAGCCGGGCTTGGCGCTACAAAGCCCGCTGTTTATAGCAGCACTAATATCGCCACATCCATTGAGCTGCAAAGCACCCGGAGAACAGTGCCCTCAGGGCATTTTTTCCAAGTTTCCAACTTTAAAGTCGACTCAGGCTCTGCTAAAAAATGGCCTGGGGTGATTTCAAACTTAACAGACCTTGTCCCACCAAGAGCTCATTATAGAGAATTTTATAACAAAGTGCTCTGTACTTAATTTTCCAAGCCTAGCCAGGCGTTCGGGTAATGTTGCTGAATTAAATGCAATTAATGATGTAATAAAGCACTGAACGGCCTTTAAGGATTCTCAAGGACCAGCAGCAAACAATGCTCTGCAATTCGGGGAGGGCGCAACGGGGACAGGAGGACGTCATGCCCCAGGTGAGCAGCATGAGAGGGGCCGAGACACAAATGAGAGGCCTCTGTCCTTCAGAGAGCCTCAAGCTGGGTAAACACACTTTTCCCCTCCGGTAATGCTTTCAGCAGTAAGCCCTGTGTCCGCCCCGGAGGAACGTTCGTGCCACAACATGAGCGGGAAGGGCAGCGGCAGCTGGAGGAGGGAGAGAGAGAGAGAGAGAGCCGGGTTCTCAGCTCTGTCCATGGAGTGCCGGGGTCAGTAGCCGCCACTGCGGGTGGAAACATAAACAATCCTGAGCTTGTGGGACTCGGACACAGCGGCTCGCAGCGCACAGCAGAGGGAGCTCTTACACCCTGAGGATCGCACAGAAAACATGCACACATACCTGCACATTAAACACAGCGTGACACACGCATTCATGCACATGCAATCAGCGCACACATGTGCTTAATAACACACTGGAGCTTTTGGGACAAACGGAAGTCTGTTTGATGTCAGTTTGGTATGAAAGATTTGGCAACACAAACAGGTCCAATATTGACACTTGGCAAAAAAACAAACGTGAATAAAACTGTAAATCAATGAATAAATAAAATGAACCTACAGTAGGTAAAATACATAGTAAAATTTGAATAGTAAGCACTATGAGTTTTTCCTCCCTCTAAAACTGTGGCAAACATGTGTAATATTATATATGTGTAATATAATAATAGATATGTGTAATATTCCTCATATTAAGCAATAAATAAAATAAAACAAAATAATGAAAAAGAAAAGAAAGAAAACAAGTGCCACACAACAGTAAAGACACAGTAAAATATACAAAATAAAATAAATTAAAATATAATATTAAATTATATTACAAAGAAAAGTCCCACACAATACAATAAAGACACCGTAAAGAATAAAATAAAATAAATAAAAAAACCTGAATTGAACCCAGTATGAACAAAGCATATAATGTGCTCTAGCAGCCATCTGAACCCAAAAACCAGCAGTCCAAGTAAGTCAATGAAGAATATACCAAAGTTAAGAGGTCACTTGACCAGCTTCAAATTACCCTCCTCCTCCTCTCTGTACTTAAAGACGACAGCTCTCATCACACAAGGATCCTCTCTTAAGACCACCGCATGGAAATCAGCCACACGTCCTCCAAATTCCTTGACCTTGAGGAGCTTTTCAAACTATAAACTCTGCGCTTAATATTTCATAATGAAAAATGGGAACATGTTGAACCACAGATGAGCTTATCGAAACAAAGTACAAACCAAGTCAGCTGAATCTTAAAGCCTAATCTGTGGCGTTTTAAAAAATTCTGTCACATGACGTCAAGGTTTCAACAGACTTCTCAACACCAACATGATGCATTTGAAAACCAATGCAGACAGATCCATGATTTTAAGACATTTATAGACAGCATAAAGCAGCAAGTGCATTGAAAATAGCAAATAAAGGCATCTTAAACGATTCTCATGTCCCCTGGTTTAACTACACTCAGTACTGTCCAACGACTGTGTCGCCATCCCTCTGCACGGCCGCTCGAGCAGCCAGAGAGATTAATATAATTGCATATTGATCTCAGGAATTATGCTCTATTAATCTGCTTAATTTTGCTCATGACGCAAATGATATATGAATAAAGAGCTTGCGGGAGCACAGAGGCAACACAATGTCTGTCCTGCCATGATTCTCCATAATACATCTCCTCTAGTTTAGCTCTCTGCCACGGCAGATTGAGCACATACAAATATATTACGCCAGAAACGCGAGCAAATACATCACGTCTGACCTAATAAGTCCCACACAATACAGTAACAGCGCTGTAAAATATACAGGGTTGGTGTATTGAGGACTGGTATATTGTCAAAGACATATAGGCTGATGCTATTTCATTCAGAGTATCGCCATCCCAAAAATGCAGTATCCTTGACGCCAATTCGTGAACATGCAAATGGACAGACCATGTCTGATATAGACTAATGGCATTTTATTATGAGACAATATTGTTTCCATTTGACACTTTCAATATGTAATGCTAGTCTTCAATACCCGCCACACCTCAAATAGCATTTGGTGCAAGACTGCAATAAATGCAATTTGTTACTCGCCGCAGTGGCAATTTCAAATCGCTTGCGCTATTAGAAAGTCAATTTAACTTTCACTTTTATAAGTCAACATTATTGCTATTGTTAATTTATTTCTCATTGAATTTGAAATTGGCAGCAAGGCATCAGACTGTCATTTTAAATCTGCAATAATTTCTCGTGAAGCTTAGACCTCTTATTCCCTAGTCCTGGATTATTGGAGCTAAATGGCGGTCCCTGGCTTCACCAACGGCTCAGGGGCAGGTACTGTTACACAAATTGCCAATTCAATTAACGGAATGTAGATGCTCAACTGGCAGCTGGCACGCAGGATGGCTATTTTGGCAAGTGTCAGGCCTAATTCATCAAGCTGTCAATGCTTTCGCGGTCGGAAGCCACGGACAACGTCAAAGCCGTGAACGGCACAATGGGAAGTCGCATAATCCGTCGAAACTCATCATGTGTTAAGGAATGCTAACCAGCCACACTGAATCCGCAGCGATCAGGCAAGGCCTTCAGGATCTAACCGGGACTGTGAATGTGTTTTCTGGGAACTAGGGAATATCAGTCAAGATAGTCACAAAAAAACAGTTCTTAGTTCTTAGAATCACAGGATTCAGACAGTAAATCTGTCCCTCGACACAATTCTTTTTGTACAGGCAATGTCTAATGTTTAACTAACTCAATTCACATGCAAAGAGGTTAGCCAATCATAATAGCTATAAAAAGTCATTTGCATACATAATTCTTACATTCACAGTAGAAAAACCAGCATGTTTACTTCAAGGGTGAGAAAGAGGGTGGAAAATATTCACATAAAACTACATTAAGACTTTTAAAATTGAAAAGAAAAGTGATCAAAAATAGTAGGATATGGCCCCTTTCAGGTAAAATCAACTCGTAGCCATTTTAACTTGCATAAATTGATGTATTTCTAGTTGATTAAAGGTATTTCATTAAAATGCATTACATTAAGGGTGTTTTCAAACTTGTAGTTAGTTCATTTTGTTCCAAAAAATAAAAATATATTATTACAATGTTGGAAAAAAAAAACATTGGAAAAAAGATTGGAAAAAAATATTAAGGTATTATGTTGTAAGATATTATATGATGGGTGTTTTCAGACTCATAGGTAGTTCAAAAAACTTTGAATATCATTTAAAGTGGACTTTAAAATTAAAAATAAAATAAATAAATGGTCAAAAATTGTGCAAAATGACCCATTTAAGTAAACTGTCCATTTTTACTTACATAAACGGATGCATTTCCAGTTGAAAAAAAAGATATTAAGGTATTACATTGCATTATATTATTTTAAGGGTGTGTTCAGACTTATATTTAGTTGAAGAAACTTTTACTACAATTAAAAGTGTACTTTAAAATTGAAAAAAAAAAGAAAAAAGAAAAAAAAAATACAATATAATAAAAGGATCAAAAGTTGTAGAATATGAATAATTAAAGTGAAAATAATTCACAGCCCTTTTTATTTGTCCATTTTTACGTGTCCAGTTGATTAAAGGTATTAAATTATAAGATATTGTATCAAGGGGGTTTTCAGACTTACAGTTAGTTTGTTTTGTTTCAAAAAGGGACTAAATTATTTTAATGTTGAATCAGAGGTGGTCTCAGGTTTGTTTTGGTGTGGATCCGAGTGTGATTTCTGAATTCAAATATGTTTAAAAAAAAACAAACTAAAGATCTGAATCAAATGCTCCAAACAAACAAGGTAAAAAATGCCCTAAATGAGAAAAAAAGGATAGTACTTAATTTTATCTTTCACAAATTAATTGATTCATGAAATGTACCGTTACATATCAGAATGAGTATGGTTGGAGGAGAGAAAATTAATAAATAAGAGGGATTCATAACGTCAAGTGAAAAGAAAACTCTAAGTTATTACACGCTAAAGAAAGATGAAAACAAACATTTTCTTTCAAATAAATCATGCACAATAAGACCAGGATACTACATGGGGACATTTCTAATAACGCTGATTTAAACTGAACAATGTCAGATTTCTCTCATGTTTCACCTGGTTCATTTGCTTCAACGTCTGCTCTCATTAAACAGGAGTGAGTCTCGTCACGCTGTAATTGATAAAGCTCAAGGTGATCTCCGATCAGGACTGAATGGCCCATCATGCACACACACCACAACATCTTGTGCACTTGTGTAGTTGCATGTAAAAGTGCTGTGAGTTAATGAAAAGATGAGACCGAACACAGCATGTCATTAGCTTATTCAGAAAATTACAGACTCTTCTTGTTTCACTGTTCAGTTGTCTTTGAACGCAGCAAAACGTCCCTCAA